GTGGGGATACACCCCTACACAAGAGCCCGACCGGAATCGAACCCGGGACCCTTCAGTCCCCAGGCCAACGCTCTATCCAGTGAGCCAAACCAGCTAGGGCTGTGCTAGTACTCTTGTGAAACAAGTTAAGGCATTAAACAACTGGTCCCAGCATTCCTAACTAAATGCAAGATTGGGACAAATATTTAGTTAACTGCAAGATAACTAATCAAGACACAGTTCTATTTCATTTTTTTCTATTTGTGCTTTAGCTGAAATACCTGATGGCAAATACAATAACCCATATCAGGCCTAGCTGGTTTGGCTCAGTGGACTGAAGGGTCCCAGGTTAGATTCCAGTCAAGGGCACATGCCCGGATTGCAGGCTCGATCCCCAGTAGGGGGCAAGCAGGAGGCAGCTGATCAATGATTTTCTCTCATCATTGATGTTTCTCTCTATCCCTCTCCCTTCCTCTCTAAAATCAATAAAAGTATATTTAAAATAAATAGGAGTCTTAAAAAAAAACCATAACAGGATTATTATTCTTGTTCTATCACTTACTTGAATGGAACTGTATATATCTTTTTAAAATCAAAATCCTAAATTTTCTATTAAATTAATTCTATTAAATTAATTAGATATTCAAGTGTTGCTTCATGATAGACACCATTTATGTTGTTTCCCATAAACTTGAATTAATTAAGACTTTAAAACTTGCAGATTTTTATGTTTACACATTTTTTAATTCAGTTTTACAAAATGTAATAATACCTAACCAGTATTGAGTGCCTACTATGAGCTAAGTGGGTTTTTTTCTTTTTTTAAAAATACTTCAAAAAATGCTTTTATTGATTTTTAGAGAGAGAGGAAGGGAGAGGAATAGAGAGAGGGAAACATCAATGAGAGAGATAAATCGATTGGCTGTCTCCTGTCCGCCCCCTACTGGGGATTAAGCCTGAAACCCAGGCTTGTGCCCAGACCAGGAATCAAACCGGGAACCTCTTGGCTCATGGGTCTATGCTCAACCACTGAGCCACACGAGCAGGGCTAAGTGGGGTTTCTCACATAATTACTTGTAAACCCAAAATCTTCCCCCTACAACCCTGTCAGTACTATTAGGCCTATTTTACGGATGGGGAAACTGAGGTGCTGAGAAACTAAGAGAGTTTCCCAGCACCACACTGCTAGTTAGTGTAAAGCCAGGAATGTGCTGTCTGATTATCTGATTGGTTAATTTAGTCTCTTAAGTATCCTAAATTGAGCACAGCGTTCTCACCCCTCCAGGGCTACATGCAGTAGAATTGCTCTTTGGGCATTAGAATGCTGTTATAATAATGCAGTTAAAGCTTTCAAACAACCAGAGTCCAATAAAACACCTAGGGTGCAATAAAACATCTGATTAACTAGTGAAATGAGATGTGAAATAACTTCTCAGGGAAATGACAAGTAAATGGAGGGTGTGTGACTATGAAGTTTGCTAAGATGCATAAACCAGAACAAGCAGTGAGGCCAGGAACCTCCAGGCCTGGCTGTGTGAAACGCTCCGGGAAAAAAAGGGGGAAATCTCTCACACTAAGTGGGGTTGGCCTGGAAACTCATAAAGAAATGCTGGGAGGGGCGGGGGACGGGGGCTGATGTTTTTGTTTTGTTTCCTTCCATCTTCAGTGGAGCTGGTGCTGCAGGAGTCCCACCCACTCTCTGCACCTTCCACCTGCTCACGGAGGGACAATCCACATTTTGAGAGTAGAGGCTAGCATACAGGACCTGATAAAGCCGGATCACTACCACCATCACTTTGCAAAAACCATCAGATAGCCCGAGAAAGCATGGAGAGCTTTACCAGCGAATAGCAATGTCAACCCGAAAGTCTAAAATGAAATGCATCGGGACCAAATTGCTCTGCACTAACTTCCTAAAAGCTCTTCTCTGGATATCTGAGCCAACAACCCCAGCTGACAGTACCCAAGAAGCTTCCACAGGCAAATTACAGATTGTAAGGGACGCTGAGAGCCACCCCGAGGCTAAGTTTTGTAAGGTCTGCAATGCTTTTAGAAGCTGTCTTTCCCCCTCGTGTCCAGAGGCTCCACTACACACAAAATTTGCTAAAACTGTTCGCTGGGCACTACTTCGGTTGGGGGCAGCATGCCCGCCATGCAATGCCCTACCGGTTTCTTAACACGCATATGATTAATATTGGTACTCTGGAAAGAGAACTTCTTCTGACCTTGAGCGTGCGCGCTAAATAAATTACCTCAGAACGAAAGTGGTGAGATCTCATAACAGCATCTGGGGAGAAAAGAGAAAAATGAGACTTCATTGAACTCTCTGTTCTTCACCTGCCTAATAACTGATGGCTTACCTGGGGGGGGTGGGGGGCGAGGGGTCGGAAAGGCACATTCCCGACGCCTCGAATTCAGTGGGGGCATCCTGTAGGGCGGAGAGGTTACTAGGCCATCCGTCTCTGGCTGATTTCAACATGAGAAGTTTCAGGGAAAGTTCTGGGGGAGTTGGGGAGCCGGAAACTCTCCATGAAGAAAGCGATGGATGGGTGAAGGGAGGCTGCCGCAGCACCGGACTCCGCTCCGGATACCCTCGGGGGCTTTAGCAAACTGGCACTAAGAATCTGCGCCCATGCCTCTCCTCCCAGCACTCGGCATCGCTGTGCTTTGCCCAGCCCAGGAGATTGGAGGAAGGGGGCGAGGGCAACCCGGGCGAGGGGCGTTAAATCCACAGGCGTCCTCAGCCTGGGGAGTGGGCAGTGATGGAGCGAAGGGCAGTGGCGCAAAAGCGAGCGAGCCGCGCGTCACTCTCCAAACGGGCTGAAGAAACGCGGCGTGTCTTACCTCTGCTCCTGGAACGACCCGAAAAGACCGATTTCATCGGATGCCTCCCTTTCTGGAGCTTGCGGTGCCAGCAGCAGAAGAAGACGATGGTGGCGATGGTGCCTAGCAGAAGCAACAAGAGGAAGAGGGCGCATTGGATGCTGTAGGGTCTCAGCAAGACCAGGAAGCCGCGGC